TGCTATGAAAGTTTCATTAACAAATTCACTTGCTGTGTTTATATTAGCATGACTTTCTCAGCATTACGTTCCTAGATTAGGTTCTATACATAAGAAAGAATAAATAACGTAACAAATAATGCCTCTACAAACAGAATAGTATTGAAATTTAACAATTAAAAATAAAAATATAATTAATGAATTCAATTATACTACAGCTGGTTTATGATTTCGTTCTAATATAAACACAACAAGTGAATTTATTAATACAACTTTCATAGCAAAGTAACAAAACTCTAGAAAAATATGCGAACATAAAAGTCAAGTACGGCTTTGGGTCAGTTAGTTAGATTTCGGTTCCTGGTTCTTGCAGTCTTAAAAAAAAACAAAATTATTTACGAATAATTAAATACAAGCATTATTTCCAAGACCACTGACGATAGTTATTTGGCAATACTCGAAACAGCTGTATGTTCAGCCAAACATTCAATTAATTAAAAATTATGAAATGAATTTTTGTTGTCGTAATTCACAACTGTTCGAAAAAACATAAGTTTCTATTAAACATAATTATCACTTCCGTCTGAAAAATTTGACGTTAAATTACAACTTATATTCATCATTCAATAATAATAATTTCTTAAAAAATTCTGTGAATAAATTTGCTTTTTTTTTCGTCACTGTTGACCCATGGGGTACCTTCTGCTTTAATAGGACGATTTTGCTTTATTGGTCGTTTAAAGTAATTCCAGTCTGTATATCTATTTATTAGGTAGAGCCTTGGCTCATTTATACATACAATCTCATTAATATAAAGGCATTTCTGTAGCATGTATGGCTTCTAACAGTTCTCGGTACTAAGTTGTATTTATTCGCGAACTCCAATGGACATGTTTAACATTGAAATCAGCGCCAATAATAAATTTATTTTTTTATTCTTCAACTTATTAATAACAGATGGAACACACTTAAGTTACGTGCAACTTCCAGGTTAACATGGCCCATCTATTATAAAATTAGATCTTCGAAACTCATCAAAAGAGGCAGCGTGAACACTGCAAGGCTTACTGCAGTTCTCTCTGGTCATTGGTGTATAGGAACCCACGCAGAGAAAATGCGTATATTCTATAATCTTCATTGCAGAAGATGTGGAAATCCGCAGAAAAAGAAACCATAATATATGTTTTCTGTGAATGCCCGGTTTTAGCGTTCAGAAGAAACATGTTTTTAGGAAGATACTTCTTTGATCAGTCTATCAAACTGTTTATCTGTGAAGACAAGAGACCTACTAAATTATCTAAATTTGACGGGATGGATTTATTCTCTACTCTTTTAAACTAAGGGTTCTTGCAAGGAATACGAAAAACGGTGAAATCGTTAATTGAGGCACGTGAAAGTTATCCAATAGCTTGCCACTACAACCAACCAACCAACTATTAAAATTTAAAAACATATACATATATATGTATATAAAAAATAATATTTAGAGTGTTTCGAATGGCATGGAAGAAAGGAAGGACAAACACAAAAATTTAGTTAATTTATTGAAATTTGGGTGACCATACAACGCTGTTTCGAGTATAGCCAAGTACTCACTATCAGTGGTCTTAGGGAATATTCGAATTTCTCAATTAGTTTATAGTACGTATATAATTTGTTTGGAATGCAAGTGCCACGCTTAGAACTTGTGTAATCGTATTTTTCAACAAGTAGCCAAGGCTAAACAAACTTTACATGCTAAAGTTCCAGGTTTTTTGTCACTTTTTTATTTAATTAACATAATGACTTGCTGCGCTTTTAAGTAGAACGAGCTTATAAACTACAGCTTTATTTGGAAACACAAGTTCAATGAATTGAAAGGTAACTTTTGATGTTGCCTATTTTTATTTTTTAAATTTGGTCAGCAAAATTTCAATAAATTAACTAAATTTTTATGTGTGTCATTTTTTTCTTTGCTATTCGAAACCCTCTAACCCTCTAAATTTAAAAAAAATAGCTTTTTCGTCATTATAAGAAAGCATAGATTTTGCGGCAAAGCAAATTAAACTTTATAATAAATAATATTAATTTTCAATCTAAAGCTATTTAATGAATTTTTATATTTTATTTGACATTTTGCATATTATGTTAAGCAGTCGTCACTGACTGTTACAATGCAACAAGTACAAGATAACTGCACTTTTGAATTAATATTCGGTAAGGTGCCAATCATCTATGATTCCCTAAAATAAGGCCAAGTACACACTCTCTGCAATATAGAGGCCTATGACAAAGAAGTCAAATGTAAACTACAAATGGTGCTAAAAAGGGTGCGCCTTTTAATAGATAGACATAAGAAAAGGATTATTATATTATTGTGAAACAATTTTGAAGAAAATAATTCTTAGAATAGAAACGGAATAGAAAAAGGATGCTAGCAGCAACAGAGTAAGGGTATTTTATAAAGGAGTGAATACTATCAAAACAGACTACCAGCCCCGAGCAAATATGTGTTAAAACACTCTAGAAGAAATTGTAAATAATGAGAAAAACATTATAAACACATGGAAGCAACACTTTGAAACCCTACTAAATACAGAGCAGAATAACAATGAAGTGAACCAAGAAGATTCGAAATATGAAGAGGTAGTGGATGCTATAAAAAGCTTAAAAAACAATAAGGCCTCAGGTACAGACTCTATTAATGGAAAATTAATAAAATACGACCGTGAAACAATATACTATCTTAACATATACATGAAATTATAAACGACATTTGGAAAAATGAAAAAATGCCTGATGAATGTGAAGTCGGTAAATTGTGTCCCATAAATAAAAAAGGTGATAGATAAGAATGCACAATTTACTGAGGCAAATTACTATGTGTTAATAACAAAATGCTAACAATCATAATTCTAAATAGAATTAAAAAGATAGCAGAAGAATACCTGGGCGAATATCAATGCGGATTCCGTCAAGGCAGAGGCACTGATCAACTATTTGTACTATCACAGCGGAAAAATGTATCGAACATGGAATTAATATGCACTGTTTATTTATTGATTTCGATAGTGTTAATAGAAATTGTATAAAAAATATCCTCATGAATCAAGGTATATCTAAAAAAATAACAAATCTCGTCATTATGACCCTAGAAAGCACTACAGCATAAATAGCAGTGCGAAACTCTTATTCCGAACAACTATGTAGATATGCTGATGACCTACCATTGTTGGCTCGCAAGGTAACTTACCTAAAGAATATTTTTAAAAAAATCGAAACGGAAGTTCAAAAAATGGGTATAAAAATAAATTATGCAAAAACCAAATACATGTTAATCTCAGCCACAAAATCTACTCCAAATGTCCAAAACATTGACAATCATTTAATTGAAGGTGTCAGTAGTTATAAATACCTAGGTGTTGTGTTTAGCGAGAACAATCTATCAATGAATACATTAAAAGATAGAGTACAAGCTGAGAATAAAGCCTATTATGAATTAAAACGTCTAATTACAAGTAATAATATTTCGCAGGAAACAAAACTAAGGCTCCTAAGCGCGCTCATTTCCCACAATATTAGAATGTCCAGGAACCCTGATTAGAGTTACCTTGGACCTCTCGCTTAGTGCATTGATAAATTCGTAACATTCTTGCACTAATCTGGATAACATACAGGCTGCTGATAAGGCTTTAATAGCTGACTGACTGTCAGTTAGAATGTAGACCTCCTTTGCGTGAAAGCCAATATTTAAAGAAAGAACACATGCCCTAAGGATGGCGAAAATTTCAGTCTGAAATATTGAGGTGAAATCTGAAAGATGGTATGATATATTAATCATTAGGTCCGTAGAAAAGATTCTGTAGATTATTTCAGTATGAAATAAATATTTTTAAAACTCTAACACACCATCTTTTTTTTAAGAAACTTTATTCCAACAAATATAAATTTATTGAAGCGATGCTGGACAACGGGTGACTATGCCACAGCAAAATTATAACAACTGAAATGATCTGTGTCGTTACACAATGCACACATAAACTCATAGAAGTGGCAATGTTTTTGTCTTGATCCTGCTTGACTTTTATTTAAATCCCACCGTTCCCCAATCAACTCCCACTTCCTAATAATCTACTCTCAAACACTACATATCCACCGATTGACGGCAAATGCCATAATCGTATAAGGATAAAATTAGATATTATGTAAATGAAGTTAGGTTTTTCTTATTAGTTTTCTTATAATTATTTATAATATTTATGTTTTATATATTATAAATTATTGAAAATGTTAATTTTGTAAATGTAAATATGACCTAAATTTAATAAAAGAAATACTACTACTACTATCCACTACATATCCACATTCTAACCCATGTATTCGTCATGTAATTCCCCTTATATTATCTACTTTGATTATTAAAAATTAATCAGATTTTAAGTAAAAATGTTTGTTTGAATAATATTATTTTAAAAGTTTTTTTAACAAACATTCAAAGGAGGACATCACACATTTCTTATATACACTAAATTTCAGTTAAAATAAATTCAAAACATTTATTTTTTATATAATATTTAAATCGGGTTTATCTTTAAATTGTAATTAAAACTTATTTTTTTTTTCACTGTAGTGTTACTTTTAAAAGTATTTTTGGACAAGTAATTTATTGCACATTTCACATTTTTAAGAAAAAAAGAAAATAAATGAAGACATAAACAGCTTATCTTTGGATTTTTGTTAACATCCGTTACACATATAGATAAATAGCCCACATATATTCTTTAATATTTTATCAATACTACTGTTCCAAAAAATATTTTTCAAAAATAATTATCATTTTATTTGTGACTTATCATTTTCTTATATGTAAGAAAATCCATGGATTCATTTTGTAATACTGGATTTGTTATATAGCGGAACATAAGCATGTTCTCTTTGGCTTGCCTCTTAATAATATTATCTCTTTATAACTCTTATAAATTATATTATAAATTTTCTATTTTATTTGTACTTTTTTAGAAAACGAGCCATTAATTCGATCATTAAATTAAATTTCTATTATCTATAAATTTAACAAAAATACCTGGTACTGTTGACATAGCTTTGATCATATCTAAGTAGGCGTTAGGGCTAATGTTAGATGGTACTCCATTTTTTCTTTTATCCGACTAAGAAAATAATATATTATATTTAAAATTATAAACGCCTAATTCTTACCAACTCGTTGCTACGTTCGTCTCTTTGACATGCTTGTAATATCAACATTTTTGGTTTGTCTTGCAAAGCATCAGCAGTCATTATTTCTTCTATTTCAGCAATTTTAATTGGAATGCTATTACAGCCATAAATGCATCCTACCAATTATAATACAAAATTATAAATTCATCAGTTTTGTCAACATTTCTTACCACTAATACCATGCGATAAAATACATATAATTATTGAACTTAGAGTGCAAGACCGTTTTACTGTTTCACGAATTTGGTGCAATAAATCTATATGAGACAAGTTGTCAAAAACCATTGGAATGTAACCAAAAGAAGAAAATACTTCCCTCAATTTTTCTTTATCCGTGTCGGTGCCACAACGTTCTAATAATTTTTTTTTTGGAAGTAAATGCTTTAAATAAATGAATATACATATTTAAAAAAAAAATTGCCACATAAAATAAATTTACCTGCAACTCCTTTGATTCCTCCTTATAAAAGTTCTTTTGATTAATAATTAAAATATATCCAGCCTGGTTTCGTTCCACAACATAACATTTATCTAAATTTGTTTTAGGTAGAAGTTCAATATCTGAAACTTTTTCAGTATTGATTGCAGAAGCACTGTCCTTTTGATAAAATCCTCTGTTTTCAATAGTCGGCGTTGAATTTGCATTACTTCGAATTGTTTGCAATAGCAATGTTTTGATTTCATCCATATCATTAATAATAAAGAATTCTAATAAAACCTGAATATTGACATTTTCACTTCGGTCGTCACCTATATCAATGATATTTACTGTTATCCAATCTAATAAAAATATTTCTAAATATTCAAAATCATAAAAACGCAAATGATTTTCAAGTTTTTTATGTTGTTCATTTATATTAAGAATTAATTGCCCAGCTTGTTCCGGCGTAAGACGTTCGCACATATTATAAAGGGCTTTTAACAATGGATGTATTTGTAAACTAAGTTCAGCTACGTTAGGCAAATAGTACTCGCGTATTTCTTCCCATTTAAATCCTAATTTACGAAGTACACGTTTTGCATCTATAATAGCTAACGCTTCTACAACACATCCACGCCAATTATCCAAGTTAACTGTAGTGTACTCTCGCAATAAACCAATAACTGTTCCAAATTGGGAATTGAAGTGAATAATTAGTTTTTGCAGTGCAAACGAAGCACTAGAACGAGACACTCCAAAAAGCAATAAACTAAGAGACACCTTTAAAATAATAAATTGGCAAATTTCTATTATTTATTTCTAAGTTATCTAAGCTATCCTACCATCTCGTAAAAACTCAAATCTTTTTCTATATAATCCAGATCCTCCATTTGAATCTTTTGCAAATACGATCCAATGTGTAACATATTTGTATGATTATATGAAATAAACGTACTAGAAATAAATATATAAATTATAATATTTATGCGTTAATAAGTACTTTACATGATCAGCTGTGATCATCAAAGAATACTTGTACAAGAACGGCAACTTAAATGTAAACAAAAAAAACCAACCAATACACTCTCAAAATAATTTACTACTACCAAACCAAGCGCGTTGTTTTGTTGTTGCAATTCGACCCACCACGACTGAAAAAATTCACCACCCCGAACGGAACGTTTCACCATCACGAACGCTCTTAATATTTTTTATTACGAAAGAGCAATACGAAGAGCGCAAATTGGGGTTTGTTTAGTTATTTTGACAGGAGAAATGCGCCAAATAAATTTCTCTTCGTTTCGATGTAAGTGGGCGGAGTTTCCGTTCTTGTAAAAGTATTCTTTGCTTCTCAAGAACGGAAGGTCAATCAGTCGGTACGCACCAAAAAGGATCTGTTAGTCGTTAGGTACCGAAACACTTAAGCATGATATGTACGATGCTACATGTGTGTATACCAGGTATACGTGATACCAAATCGCACTGTGTATATTCAAGTATTGCATACCAAATTTCGGTCTGAGACATGTATGCAGTAAAATTAAAAGTTTTCAATTATTTGTTAAGTCTGCACACATGTCTGCTTGTGTATATCGAAATGTGCAGAATTCGCATAATTTAAGAATTTTGGTAAGCGTCGGACGAGCAAAGATCGCGGAAAAAAATTGTAAAATAATTGAAAAAGTTGTAGACATTTAATTTCTTTAAAAGAAGCAAATTTGAAAAAAATTGCTACAGACAATTATTAACGAAGTTCATACATTTTAAAAATTATTGTCTGCTATAAACATTTTTAAAGTAAGTTTTTACATTTAAACAATTATTATGTGTATAAAAATATTAAAATGTAACATTTTAAAAAATTAAATTAAAAACAATTTTAGATTTAAGAATTATAATAAGAAATTATATTTAATTCTAAGAAATATGAAATTTTTATATAATGAAATAAATAACAGCGTCAGCGTGAAATATTTTCGGCAGCGCCATAACAACAGCGGAACAAGTACTGAGTGCAAAACAATAATCTTAACTGAAGAAATTAAGGTGATGATAATAGCAACATATTATTTATTTTATTATTATTATATATTTCATATTTCTTGGAATTAAACACGATTTATTAAAGATTGTTTTTGTTAATTCAGTTTGCTATACTACAGTGTAATTTAGTTTTAGCAAGCAATAATGGAGAATGAAGCAAATGCGTTTATGGTAATAGTAACATGTCTTGCGGAGCGAAAAAACAAAAGAAAATAAAGGATTTGGGCAAAGACATGGCTGCAAAAGAATTTTCTCATGTCAAGCTTCTGAAGGAATTAGAGACCTCTTGTATTGAAGATTTAAAACTTTTTTAAGAACGGATATTAACATGGATATAAGATATGGTATATTATTGTGGTATAATTAGACCTTTATTAAAAATTAATAATAATTTATTAAAAAACAATACACAATGAAAATAAATCGTGTGTTCAGCTTCAACTTCTTTTCTCTGATTCCTCTTTTCTTTAATTTGACAGTTCTTCTGTTTGGCATCGCCGTCAGAACAAAAGTGTTGAATGGTTACATTTTATATTACGAACTCCTACATTTCGACTACCCTGACTGGGCGTACGACCCGGACAGCTCGGTCCATGCCTTCATATTTTTTGCGATGGCTATTGTCGAATGCGGGCCTTCGTGATCGCCAATTTTTTCGACTTTGTAGCGACCGTGATTTAAAACCTTGTTGACCTTATACGGGCCCAAGTATTTTGGTCTAAGTTTCATCCCTGAACCGTATTGAGTCCTCTTTATTGCCACTGTATCATTTTCTGCGTACTTCCTTTCTTCTTTGCGCTTTGAATCGTACGATTTTTTGTTTTCTTGTTGTATTTTAAGGATGTTTTCTTTCGCCATTTCCCTAACCTTATTGCATTCTTCATCTAGCTCGTTTAATAACTCCTCGTTGAATAATGTTTTCAGTTCCTCGTGTTGATAACCTTTCATTTCTATTCCTGTTAAAATTTTAAACGGCGGTACCTTTGTACTACGTGGTGGAGTGTTGTTTATAAGTTGCTGAATTCTGTCAACATGTTTATACCACAATGTAGGTTTCTTCTGACATAGTTTTGCTAGCATAGGCACCATTATTCGATGAATACGCTCTACCTGCCCATTACCCCTAGGAACTCCAGTTGAAATTAGTACATGTTGGATGCCTCTTGACTTACAATATTCCTCGAATGCATTTGCCGTAAACACTGTGCCACGATCAGATACTATACGACTTGGATGCCCAAATACTGCTGATTGTTTTTCTAAAATTTTAGCAACTAATTGTATGTCTGTGCTTTTTGTTGGATAGAGCCAGACATATTTCGAGAAGGCATCAACTATAAAAAGAATATGATCATACTTCTTCTGAGTCTATTCTTGTGGACCTATGATACGTCAACAGAGGTTTGTCTTCCTTGTTAATAGGGTTTAAAAATCCTTCTTTCTTTCCAGCTTTGATATTAATAAGTATGCATTTAATGCATGAATTGACGATATCAGAGACCTTCTGTTTTAGTTGCGGAATGAAGTATTCCTTCTCAATGATGTCTTGCGTTTTCTTCTGAGCGAAGTGACCTTTACAATGTGCGGCAGTAATTACTTCTCGTTCCATTCCTGGTGGAATAACTAGTAGTTCTTTATCTGCGTTCTTAAACAACACCCCATTCTTTACGTAAAAATCGTCATACATACCACCACCATCTAGGATCATTTTAACCGCTTTAAGCCAGTCGTCGTGACTTTGCGTTTCTTTCAACTTATATGTAAATATATCTTGTATCATCATCAATGTTGTTCAACTTTATACTGGAAATCTTGCAGGAACATTGCCCATAGTGACACTCTTAACGGAACTTCTTTCTTTTTCATAGTTAACGTGAATGCATCACAATCTGTGATGATTTTAACTCCTTGTCAATTAGATAAATCCTCCATTTCTTCAATACTTGAATAACAGCTAGGACTACTAATTCGTATGAATGATACTTACTCTCGGAAGGAGAGGTCTTACGACTGAAGTATTGTACCGGATGTAACATTTGGTCATCGGGATCTTTCTGCATCAACATTGCACCAAAGCCATGAGCACTAGCATCCGTGTGGACTTCTGCAACTGCAAATGGATCATAGATTTTCAAAACCGGCGCTTTTACTATCTTTAATTTCAATTGCTGAAATGCTGCTGCTTGTTCTTCGCCGAATGTGAACTTTCCTTCTTTACGTAGCAAGTCAGTGAGCGGATTTGCTATTACGGCGAAATTCTTTACAAACTTGCGGAAGTAGGATGTGAGTTCGATAAATCTTTGAACAGCCTTCGAGTTATTTGGTATTAGAAACTTTTCTACGGCTTATATCTTTTCATAGGAAGGTTGTATGCTATTATTTTCTATAACACACCCCAGAAAATTTATTTTTCTCTGCAGGAATTGACACTTGCTGAATCTTATTTGGATGGCCTTTTCCTCAGCGAATTTCAAAACTTGTTTAAGTTTTTTTAGTCCTTCAACTTCATCTTTCGATGGTATGACTATGGCATCAACGTAAACAATGATTGTACCGTCTTGTATCAGTTCACGAAAAACTGCTTGAACAAATCTGACAACCATAGCCGGTGAGTTTGAAATACCAAACGGTGCGTAGAGAAATTCATATTACCCTTGATGATATATATTTGCCTTTGATGGTATATTTTCATGATGATGGTTCTACTGGAACGTGGAAAACCCCGTTCTTCAAGTCGAGTGTCTTGAAAACGTTTGCACCTTGTAATTTATCCAGAATATCTTCGATTAACGGCATAGGAAAACGGTCCTTCACATTCTTTTCATTTAATCTACGATAATCGCAGCATACACGCTTTGATTTATCCTTCTTAGACGCTAATACAACTGCGGCAGCATATTCCGAAAAACTTTCTTCCACAATGTCTTGTTCTACCAACTCCTTTACCTGTTCGTTCACTATTACTCGGTCATGGTATGCCAACCGATGTGTGCTTTCATATATCGGAGTATCATCCATCATGACAATTTTCATTTCAATGGGTGACTTTGCATATTTCACTGATTTATAATTTGTAACTATCGATTCAATTTCTTCCTGCATTTCAAATGAAAGGTGTGCTGTGTCTATGTTTGATGACTGCTGGACCGCAGCTGTCATTCCACATAAAATTTCAAATTCATCTTCATTTGTAGTTATGTCATCCTTCGTTTTTATAGATTCTACATTTGCTTTTTCTTCTTCTGGAACACAAAATTTGTCACCGTTTTTGGATAACACAATGCTTAAATTGTCAAGTACATCATTACCAATTACTGATAAATAATCGGAGTCCTTACACGCCACGATGTGAAACGTCAAGTATAGGTTAGCCTTGTCTAAGGCTGTCTGCAACTTTATGCTTCCTTTGCTTTTTATTACGTTCCCACCAATACAATGTAGAGTCTTAATATTAATACACATTACGCCGCCACCCAACGACTCGAAAGCATCTTTGCGCAGTAATGTCAAATCAGATCCGCTGGTGATAAGAACGCAAATTTGCCTTCCCAGAATTGTTACATTTCGACATGACTTCTTGTTTGAGGTGAAGTGGCTAGACATGTTTTCTACGGAATTTACTTTACTACTGGACAATGAGGATTGCCCTGCTTTCGCTTGGTTACATTCAAACGAGCGATGTTCAATCTTGTTACATCGGAAACATTTGTAGTTAACAATCGTACAGTCTTTCGCTAAGTGTGCCATATCGCCACACTTGAAGCACCTTCGTTTTATTATCTGTTTCGGGAATTTATGTTCAAATGATTTGGAGTTGCACATTGGAACTTTGACACTACACACTTCGTTCGTTCCTCTGATTTTTTCATAAATTATCATGCGTTGTTTCAGCTCGCTTATTGTTCGTGCTTCGTATAAGGTTGTTTTATTTAACTTCGAATCAGCTATGCCATCAACAAAGTATGAAATTAGATTTTCCTCGTCTAAGTCAATTGGTCGGCTTATCTCCTGCAGGTTGTACAGATATTCCCTGAGCGTTTCATTCGGGCGATGCTTTCAGTTTTTTAGCATGTCATGAATTTTTGCTGACGACAGTTTTTGTCCAAACTCATCAATTAGCAATCAATTTGGCATTTTAATTTCAAATTAGGCTCAAATTGTTATAAATATATATTGTAAGAATTTATAAATAAACGTACAAATTTTCTCGCCAAGTACGCGCATATTAGATGTCCGGAAGAAGAATTTTGTTGATTATACATTTAGGTTGGAGATACTCACTTTCACCATGGACTCTTTCCATATCCCATGAGGAATTATAAAATTGTTTAGATATCTCCATAAAATTGTGAAGAATTCCGCACGCTATTATCATCTATTATCATTATTCTACATCTTCCTTTCAAGCTACCAAAATGCTTGCTCCACAACAATTCGTACTTGATTCAAATATAAATTGAAGGATATCTCTTCAGCAGCTAACTCGTCCCTATAGTTTTTAAATTATTTTTTTGTGGAAATGTGATGGGCACATCTATAACATCAATAATGTTTGGCAGTTTAATTTTATGTTCAAATGTCGAGGCATTCTGATGCATTTGGCCAGGATAAAATTTTGCCGACTTGATTTTCAATTAAAACTTTACAGAAAAATAAAGCAATTTGCAGTTTAACTCTATCCATTTTTAAAATGTTTAAAATCAACATTTTTGTTTACCGCTTAACAGCTGACTGATTGACAACTACCTCAAAAGTGCTTTTAAGTCTTGTGCGTTAACGCTCTAAAAACAAATTTTAAAAGTGATTTTAAGACTCGCGTAAACGTAGTGATTGATTAATAAACTACAGATGTATTTTAAAAGCATGTTTTTGATTAGACTGGGTTTCTAGCACGTTTTTTTTTTGTGGTACGAAGGTGGAATGTTTTATGCACCGTCAAAACGACCGTTGTCGGAATAGCATGTCCGATTCCCTTACATTAATATATAGCATACAGACTAAAACAGCCCCTCTTTGGAGAGACTTATTCCGCCTCACAACCACTTTCGCATTACTTCGAGAAGGGTCTCTCTTATGTTGGCATTTCGAGCCACGCTGCTGTGATTTTCGATATGCGCCTTAATCTCCACTTTTTCACCGCATTTTCTTAGTGTCTGCACTATTTATTATTCTAGTTTCTGGTTCTCCTTTCTAGGTCTTATTTCTTTATTTTGAGGATTTGAATGACATATGAATCAATCTTTCACCAACTCTCTAGGTTCGCTCTCATCTGCATCGTCACAATCTCCATATCGCCATAAATGCAGTCGGGGAGATCCACCTTTCTCATGCGGCACAAATACTTACAAAATTATCCATGCGAATGAGATAGTAATTTACGTATCCTGATTTTCGTTTGAGCCAAGTGAGCTGTTGTTGGTCTAGCTGTCCATCTTCCTTGAGTGCTATTATTCCATTTTTGTTGCCACATTTCGATAGCTTGCTCTTGATCTTCTCTTGTCATTTGTTGAGCATAGTGTCGGTTATTTTCTTGTTGTACTCTTTATACACTCCTTTGTTTGAAGATCAATTGGAGTTACACCTGCTATTACAAAAACTGTTTCCGCCGAGACAGTGCATTACGCTGATGCGTTTTGATGTCTAGTGCGTCTGCCCACACTTCGCCACCATGTAGAAGAATTGCGTTTACTGTTGTCATCAGCAAAATCCGTTTTTCCGCAATGGATACTCCCGTGTTAGCCATTAGTTTGCTTAAAGCAGCAGTGTCCTTTGCTGCTTTCTATGCTGCATACTTTATTTGCGCCCAAAACGTAAGTTTCCCATCTAATCTTATTCCAAGGTAATTGATCGTTTTTTTTTGGTCATCAGCACATCATTATTTACTCGCATTACTAATTACTACCACATCATTTGCGAAAGCTACTAGAAAAGTATCATATGGCATCACTATTTGCAAAATGTCGTCATAAGTGATGTTCCAAAATTTAGGCCCCAAGATTGATCCGATCCTTGCGCTGATCCTGCCGTTATTTGTACCGTTTTTAATCCATTTTTTGTTAAATAGATTGATTGTCAGTATGTTAAGTAGCTACTAATTAATCTTATAATCTGCTTATATAAACATGTACTTGGAAGCGATTTTCTATCGGGTGTATGAAGTCTTTTCATCTGAGACTATTAAAACCATTTTTAATATCTAAGGTGCCAAGAAGTACTTCTGAACTATGAGTAGTGATTACCACGTTAAGTTAGGTTTGCAGCCGAGATAACCTCTGCAATGGCTCCTATTGTGGATCTGATACTGCTAATTATTTCAGGTGTTTGTCATATCCAAGTTGACTGCTGTAATTGAAATCAAATACGCAGCAATATTCATTAATAAAGCTAAAAATTTGTGTTGAACTATGGTGGTCATAGCTACATTAGCACAAGTACTAAGTTATCTTCGGTATACTTAAAATTGTGGAAATAAGAAACAACATTTTATGCGTAGGATTGATTCCTTAACAAAACATTTAGTATTGCTTTTTGTCATTTATTAGTTTAACACATAGTTTATTATAGATTCACTATTCACAATAGATTCTAGTAAATTTGGTTGAAGATATTTAAGTTAGTTTAAGTTTATTTTCTAAAAATTAAATATTATAAGCATTTGGAGGATAAACAACAAATTAAAGTATATTTGAATTTTATTTTACATTTCTTAACTGGATACAATAAGTGTACATGTTTATCATCTGCTTTTAAATTTAACTGAAATCCGAACGCAAAATGTGCCCTTGCTCTTAAACATTTTTGACAAAAAACTTTTATTTAAATTTGACTAATGTATAAAAATTACAATTAAGTATATTTAGTATGTATAATAAGTTCATTTCATTTCATTTTTAAATTTTCGTATACGTGTTCAAAATGTAGTACTTTTATAAATTTTTTAATAAAAAATTTTTTTGTTAAAATTTAATCTATAATAAAGTAGTATATAAACAAAAGTTTTGATATAAAACTTTTTAAGCACTTTTAATTATATGTAAATGTATTTTTCTACAAATGAAATTTTCTTACTATCGATTTCAAATAAATGTCCTGAGGTAGTTGTAAGCAAATTCTTTCACAAAGATTCGTAACCGAACACACACAAATTGGCATGAAAAGCAAACATTTCCACAAGAAATGTAAAATTATGGTTAATTTCGATTAAGGTATTGTGATACCAAGACAATATTAAAAATTTTTTGTAGTTTTGAAGTTAAAAATATAATTATTTGCCTCCACATAACTATTAAAAGAGCTCATTAATTAATAATGGTTCATTACAATTCTGCAAACTATAGTTGCAAATACTCCTTTATAAAGATTAAATTGGAAGAGAAAAATAGTTACAGTTAACCAATAATTAAACATTTTACATATTTTATTTCTGCACAAACAAAATATGAGTAATCTGAATTTTATTGGCGTGCAGAACGCTCTGTTTCCATTAGACACTCTCGCACCAGTATACGAGCGTGAACAATCCCTCGTTTAAGGCGTTCCGTTGAGCTCCGTGAACCTGTGTACGTTGGACGAATATCACGACCCATTTCCTCAATAACAGCCAATAGTTGTGCATACTTGCTTAGTCCATTATTAATGCCTGAGCTGCTTACTGTTGGCAAATTAGCAGTAGAAGTCATAGGAGTGGTTATGTTGGCTGATGTTTGTGTGGTAATGATGACAGGTGAATTTGATTGAGGATACTTATGTTGTGATTGAGATGAACCATTTACACCACTACCATTGCACGAACGTGAGGCAGGTGTCGCTGTAGTGTTAGATTGCTGTTGTAGTAATGCTAGTTGCGCCTGTAATTGTTGCGAATACTGCAAGGCGGTAGCAGCAGCTGCGGCGGATAAAACTGTACTACTACTTTGTTGTAAATAATCTCGATCACGCTTAGAGTAAAAATCACGAACACTACTGCTGTTATTCGAATTATGTTGTGAACTATCTCTTGGTGTATGATGAATTGCTGATATTTGTATCTGAGGCTGTTGTTCACGTTGTTCCTTCTGTTGTTGATAGTAAAAATTTTGTACTTGAGATCGCGGTATTGGCGTTACAGTAACATCACTTAATTTAGACTCTACAGCTTGAATGTCCATTATATCCATCTTGTAAAATTAATGTTTCTAAGAAAAAAAAAAAAGCTTTAAACTTGTTCATTAACATTTACCTTATATTTAGTACTCTTTTTCTTTATATTTGTTTTAGGAATACTAGAGTAACTCCACAATATTAAACGCCAAACCCAACGTTTGTTATTTATCAACTAGGCAAGAAAAAAAAGTGAAAACGCAATTTCAAGCAAGAATTATTTCTGAAAGGGGGAAAGCGAATGATGTACTCAATGTCAAACTTGTTACGTAGTTAACTTTGACGTAAATGTATCACAAACGTAATCGTAAGCATTGTTAATATAAATTTAGCTAAATTTCCGATAATCAATGAGAATTACGTTACAACTTAAAAATTACAGTAGCAAAAGGAACTTTTTGTAACTTTCGCAATATTTCATAAAAAATTTTCGACTTAACAAATTACGAATTTAATTTTATTACATAATATAATAAAACAATATCATAAGTGTATAAAAACCATATACATATTTATACACTTTGATTTTTTACTTTTATATACATATATATGCTATCTAATAAATATATTAGATACTCTTCACCTAATATAATATAAACATTTAACATAAATATAATTATAACTACCAAATAATCAAACTTGTGTGTTTATATTGTGTTTATAATAAGTACTACGTCGACATAGTAACTTACAATCATATATGTAATGTATAAAATATGGAATATAATATATATTAGTTCATATAAGTAATTTATATTAGTACGTTTGGGACAATTTTCATTTTAATTATTTGAATATAAATAAAATAAAATACGATGTAAATTTTAGATACATTGTTATTTAGTTGCCATGTGTACAATACAAAAAGCAAAATTCTCGAGATTTCTCAAATTGTTGGACTGTTGAAACTGTGGTATTGAATAACAAATATTATTTAAGCGACTAAACTGAATCAAATTAATTTTAAAACAGATTTTTTAAAGCAAAAAATAAATTTTTTTAACTTAGTTAAGTAATTGTTCTGACATATGGAACATGTATTCTGATAATTTTTTAATTTTTTTATACAATATGTATACTAATCTAAAATTTTCGTATTATTTCAGACTATTTTTAATGTATACGTAATGCTAAATTAATGTTAGAAGTATTCAAATTCGGTCATATCATATATATTTTGGTAATATAAAAATTCTCAATGCACAGTTTAAGTCTCATTCGAGTGTTCGAGAGGTAAAGAAATTTTAAGGTAAATCGCAATGCAATGTACTTTACATATATCTAATTTTTAGGTTAATAGCATAGTTAATTCTTATATAAAAGATACTTACATATATAGTTTGTTGCTAATATAGTTATTGGCTACGCATCATTTAAATACGTATTCATGCACATTGCTTTTAATTTGTACTGTAAATTTATTTCAATTCCTTCAGAAACGAGCGCCAATTCGACTTTATTCGAGTGTCGAATGTCAGTTGGATTTCGAAATAAAAGTGAATATACGAATTAGCCGACAGAACAGAGAAGCGATTTATTTCGCCTTAGCGCCGCAGCTGTTTGTGCCTATGTATTTTTGCTTTGTGAGTAATCACATCAACTGAAAATCTTGAATCGGACCCCCACGCCAATCGTCGATTAAAATATTAAAGGTATTTAAGTTAACTTACATATATAAACTGTTTATTTTATTTTAAATAAAGTTTAAACAGATTTATATAAAAACAATAATTGTAAGTATCAATTTGGTAAAATTTAACTCATCAACCATTAAGACGTAAACGTTCCGATATACCAACAATGGAATGTATATCTGTTGGACAAAGTGTGAAGATTAAGCGTACAGATGGTCGTATACATCCAGCAGTTGTATCGAAAATTAATGAGATGGGTAAATCGATCACAGTCGAGTGGTATGAAAGAGGAGAGACAAAAGGAAAAGAAGTCGAGCTGGACGCCATATTAAATTTAAATCCAGAGATCTTTAGCGTTGAACAGGAGCAACACTCTGCACCTGAACCAAAAAAGCAAGCTACTTCTGTATTAAATAATATTATGAGAAATCCGACACAAAGTGCGATTGGTCACCGCACCGGTAGATCAACTATAAACTCTACACTATTAGCATCCACATCAGAAGCACAAGAAAATTTACCACCACCATCAACTACAGGAATCGCACGCTCTCGCACGACAAGCAATACAAACCGATTAGGCACTGCAAATCAATACCCGACCACTATCAGCGCAACAACAATAGGACCCAATACAAATACCAGTAATATGGGACCGCGAAGGTCATACGTGGTAAAAGAAGTTGAACGTCTTAAAGAGAATCGTGAAAAACGACGCGCACAACAAGCACAAATTAAGGAAGAAAAAGTGGCACTAATGAATCAAGATCCTGGCAATCCCAATTGGGAGACAGCGCAGATGATTCGTGAATATCAAGGTAATCTGGAATTTAATCCATTAATAGATGGTCAAGAATATGAGGATCATCAAATAACAGTTTGCGTACGTAAGCGACCGCTAAGTAAAAAGGAAGTAAACAAAAAAGAGATAGATGTCATATCTGTACCACGGAAAGATACTTTAATTGTACATGAACCACGAAATAAAGTTGATTTAACAAAATTTTTGGAAAACCATAAATTCCGTTTCGACTACGCATTCGATGACCAATGTGATAATGCTGTTGTCTACAAGTAAGTAATAAATTTAAATTAATTAATATAAATTATTCATATATGTATGTATAATATATTGTTTTATCGATATTAAAAACAAATTTATTTTATATCACAACAATGATACATAAATGACTTATTTTTAGATACACTGCAAAGCCCTTAGTGCAAACTATATTCGAAGGAGGAATGGCCACATGTTTTGCCTACGGTCAGACAGGGTCTGGAAAAACACATACTATGGGTGGTGAATTTAATGGAAAAGTTCAGGATTGCAAAAACGGCATTTACGCTATGGCTGCTAAAGATGTTTTCGCATTTTTAAATAGCCAAAAATATCGTAGTTTGAGATTGGTAGTATCCGCAAGTTTCTTTGAGATTTATAGTGGCAAGGTTCGATACCTAATATTATTATTGGTTTATATATAAACGATTTTAATCTTTGTAATTAAGGTATTTGATTTATTATCGGACAAACAAAAACTTAGAGTCCTAGAAGATGGAAAGCAGCAAGTGCAAGTTGTTGGTTTGACAGAGAAAGTAGTCGATGGTGTGGAAGAAGTTTTGAAACTTATACAGCACGGAAACACTGCTCGTACATCTGGTCAAACTTCAGCTAATTCCAACTCATCAAGGTCACATGCAGTATTCCAAATTGTGCTTCGTCCACCTGGTTCAACAAAAATCCACGGCAAGTTTTCATTTATTGATTTAGCTGGTAACGAACGTGGTGCGGATACCTCATCTGCTAATCGACAAACGCGTATGGAGGGTGCTGAAATTAATAAATCACTTTTAGCACTTAAAGAGTGTATTCGTGCACTTGGTAAGCAATCGGCTCATTTACCTTTCCGTGTTTCAAAATTGACACAAGTGCTACGTGACTCATTTATTGGTGATAAAAGTAAAACCTGCATGATTGCAATGATATCGCCCGGTTTAAGTTCGTGCGAACACACCTTAAATACTCTAAGATATGCAGATCGCGTAAAAGAACTTGTTGTTAAAGATATAACAGATATGTTACGTGATGATAATTGTGAACAAATTATAGAAGAAGATGAGGATGAACATGATGAACAGAAAAGACCTTTGAATCACAGTAATCATAACAATAATAATAAAAATGGACAAATTTCTGAAAGTGACTTAGCTCTTTTAAGATCATTAAGCGTAAATATTTTTGCTAATTTTTATAATTTTTTTTCATTTACTACTCTTTTTAATATAAATTAGGAACATGATATGTCAGATGAATTATTAGTACAACACGCGGCAATTTCAGACTTACAGCAAGCTGAAGAAATGGTTGTAGATCAACATAGAGCAATAAACGAATTTCTTGCACAGTTTTTACCAGAATCGCTAAGATTATATAATTTAACCAATTACGTCGATTATGATCAAGATGCATATTGCAAACAGGGTGAAGCATTATTTACACAGCTGGCAGAGTTGGCAACAGGTTGCCGAGATATGATGGCTGACTTTCGAACTAAGCTAGCAAAAGAGGAAATGCTTTCGTGCACAGTTAAACCACTAAGTAAACGTTAATTTACATTCATATTGATTTTTGATAATAATTGATGATCCTTTTGAACACATTAGTTTTAAAACTGGTTGAAAACTAATTTTTATACTTTTCTATTTAATTTATAAATCAGTAGGAGTATTATATAATTATGCATATGCGGCTGTACGATAATAAAAGCCATCAGTATGCAATTCTGTAGTAAAGGATGCAATTTAAAAATAGTATTTTGGAACGATGTTTTTGTTTTTCCCATGAGATCGCATATGCATGATTTACTTATTTTTTTATTCTGTAACTAAATGTTTAATAATATGCTTATAAATTCCAAATTTTTAAGGTTATTAAGGAATCAACAATAGTCTATTTAAAAAACTAAATTGACTGAGACGTACATAAACTGTAAATTGCAGATAATTCATTTAATCAATTGTTCATCAAACAGTATAACAATCTGCACGAGTTTATTTGGTGGAAAGTTTATGTATAATTTAATGTTGATTTTTTATGATTAACATAATTTATAAATTTGTCTGTTAACTTATGCTTAATATAAATTATAATTAGAATCTAATAGCAAGTGAAAATAAAATTAACATATTAACTATAAATAATTTCTTACTTTTTAATTTTTAACAATCAAAAAAAATCGAATCCATACGTTTAACTTTTTTTAATAGGAATTCATAATACTCTTTACCATACATTTCTGTCATAAGCAAACCAAATTATCCACAAATGAGTTTAGTAAAATTTTAAAGATTTATAATTTATTTAAATTAGGAGCACGAGTTTGTTCTTAAAACAATTAAATTTCTCAATGCGTAAAGCTTTGTGCTGCGTAATTTACTTCAATGCATTCAACCAATTCATCTCTGTGTTCGTCCTTGTATAGTTGTTCGGCAGGAAGTATTTCAAATACAGGTTTATCATGCTCGTGCGTTTGAAAATGTGCCTAATTTCAAAAATATATTTAATGTGTTTCAAATATATTATAGTGTAATCTACAACTTACATCAAAAGTATGCTTTCTGTGGAACAATTCGCTGCATAAATTGCATTTATATTTTGCATTTTTAGTGTGCTTAGTTTTTATATGAGTTTGTAATGTGCAAGGTGAAATTAACATTTGATGGCAAATATGACATTCAAATTTCTTTCCTATATGCCTAAAACTATGCATTTTCAGATGCTGGAATAACAAGAAATCTTTTCCTGAAAAATACAAAAACTATTGACTAATAAACAGATTAAGGGTCATGTTATGTAGACAGTTTCGGCACTGCAAATTATAAAATTGTGTGAGAGAAACATGTCGGTTCAAATTTCGGCATGAGAACCCGGCTATTTGTGCCTCTGCACTGAGGCAAAGCAGTTTTGTTTTGTAATAACTTTTAGAATTTGTGCCTTTCTGAAGCAAATTACTTCAATTTTAATACTTTATGCAGAAAAAATGGCAGTAAGAGCCAATTTTGCCGTGTCCGAGACACTCTACATAACATAATCCTAACGGAATATGTTTAAAATTTTACCACAAATATCGCAGATATAGCGTCTGTCATTTGTATGTATTCGAGTATGCACATTTAAATCAGCCCTCGATAAATATGACTTGGCACAAAATTCGCATTTAAATTTTCGTATGTTATTGTGTTTGTCCATGTGATATTGGAAGTGCACTTTTTGATTGAAATATTTAGAACATAACTCGCATTTAAATTGGGACACACCCATATGTATTTTTTTATGTTGTGTTAATGCCTTTGAAGTTTTTAAGATCCTTTTACAATCCAAACATTGGTACTTATTATCATGAGCGTCTTTTCTGTAGAAAGATATTTAACTATAAGCTGTAATATATTTTTGAGACTTTTACCTATGTTTTACAAAATCTATCCGTTTTTTGAATTCGGTATCACATACCACACATCGAAAAGTTCTTATAAATTTATTAATTTCTGCACTGTTGCTAGTCTCGTACGATACTGAACTGCTTTCTTCGATTTCATCCAGATATTGTACATCTGTATACTCTCTATTCAATTCAACATTGTTCATAGAATCATCAGAATTTATTAGTGAAAAGCCAACGTCTGTTTCCAAATTTTTGTACTTTGTTTTGAAGTTTCCAATATCATCAATATTATCTATTATTTTAAGGGACCTTGATTTTGTTACTGATTCTCCTCCATCGAATCCGTCAAGTTCAAATAAATTTTTTTCGTTAGCATGTATGTGTGTATTTTTTTTTAAATAAAAAGTTTCCTCTTCTAATAAGTCACTAGATATATCATAAAAAGGTACTGAATCACTAAATAGCTCTTCATTGGTAATAACTTGACAGAAAGTCCGACCTATAGATTTTGAAGCTTTATCCTTAAGGATTGAATTAAAGTCCTTCTGCAATGATGTGTGTGCCTCTATTGCTTTCAATTTCAGTTGTCTGAATAGTTTCATTTGCAGTTCACAGTTACTGCACACAAAGTGCGGATAAAATTCAATTGCTGTTAAATCAATCTAACAATATTCTGTTAAAATTGCTTTATATCATATGTGTAAAAACTTACATGAAGTCCAAACAATTCTTGGTATAATTGTCCATGCTCTGATAAGCATATTTCATTTTTATTTAGCTGTAATAAACTTTCAAAGACTCGATTTTGCTCATTAGTCCTGCATATAATGCAGCTTTTTAAAAACTCCAAATCCCGACTCATTTAATAAACACTCTTTAAATGGGAAATCCAAGATGAACTGTATAATTCTACAATAACAAATAATGGCAACGGCTGCACTTATCACATATATATATTATTTATATATGTTGATAAACAAAATGTATTGCAAATGGTGTTATGGACATCTATAAAGGTTGTCAAAGAATATCTTTAAAGAACGAACTATATTTTCAGTGGCAAAGAATACTACTAGTAAATAGTTGTTGCAAAATTTCAATTTTATTTTGCATAAATAAACATACAGGCCACCTCTGGCAATGTGCGTGAAGATAGCGTCGACGATAAGTCCAAAATGGAACTGGAACATTTTTCGCCGCATGAAAAATGCAGTATAGTTTAATTAAGGAAAAATTTATTATTTTATTAAATTTAATGCAGCAAAAGGCATTATTAAGTAGAAAATTGAATTAATTTACTATCTACATTCAACTTTTATGTGTAAATGATGTAATTTGTATGAAAATTGAAAAATAAAAATCAGCCCCAAAAGATGGGGTCACTAATTTATTAATAACTTTTAAACTAGAGGTACCATTTTTTTCTTTTATGGCTCATTCGAAAGAGGATAAAATTACCTTTCATATAATGCAAAATTTTGTATAGGTTGTTTGATTAACTTAGGAGCAGTGCTGCGATGAAGATAGAGATGTCATTTTCAAACATTATTTAATTAAAACTTTGTTACTTAACCAAAAAATATGAACTAAAAAGGATATAACAATAAAAAATATGTTTGTTTTTCTAAATATAATCGCTTTTTACATAATATAGAAAAAATAAGAAAAATAAGAAAAAATAAGGAAAATAAAATTTTGTAAAAATAGGTCGCTTTACAAAATTAATTATATCTTTAAAAGCAGAGGTACCATTTTTCTACAAATTAGCTTAATCGAAAGAGGACGCTTCAAACTTTCATTTAGGACGTGTGCGAGTTAGGCTAAGTTGATGCTAAACCAAATGGGAGATTTTTTGGGATTTTTTCCACTGCACACATTTAGCCACTTAGCCCAAAAAAGTGTGCGAGTTACATTTTGACAGCTAGTATCAGCTGTGAATATATTTTGATTTCAATACTTTTGTTACAAATTTTGCGATGGCAGAAAACGTAGAAATCGATGAAGTATTTCTATTTGCGCAATTTGGCAAATTAATGGAATTATATAGTCAGCATAATAAATTGAAAGAGAGATTCTTAGAAGAATATCCAAAGGTACTTATAAAATAATTTCAGTAAATAACATAAATTATCAGTTTGACTATTTAGTGCGAGCTTTTATGCCAAAATGGATATTCTTCGGCAATATTTAGAGCTGTTGTGGAGAAAGATAATTCAATCATAAGAAAACATTTAAGGCTTACAGTAATAGCATTGGAAAGAGTTTTCAATTACGGTGCAAGGTTTTTAAATACTAAAACGGGATGGAATGACCGGTTTATTATTACTGTATTTTTATATTGGCTTGGCTGTGGTGCATGCTATCGTGTAACAGGAGCTTCGTTTGGAATTTCGAGATATACTGTGCGGGATATTGTTTACAAGTGCTTGAAAGGGTTCCTTTAATTAAAGTCATCGGTTATTAAATATCCAGCTGAAAGTGAGTGTGAAAGCATTTCTACAAAATTTAACCAACGAGCCGGTACTACAATTTTCAATCGTGCATTAGGTGCCATAGATGGAACACATATACCAATAGCTGTGCCTGTACGACTTCGTGACCAATACATGAACCGAAAGTCATTTACATCAATCAATTTACAAGCTGTATGCTCCAGTAATAAGGAATTTTTATCTATTTGTGTTGGTTTCCCAGGATCGGTGCACGATGAGCGGGTTCTACAAAGCAGTGAATTATTTAATTTGCAAAATTTTCCTCCACCAGGCTACTACCTGCTAGGCGATAGTGGATACTGTTGTCGGACTAGTCCAATAGCAATTCTCACTGCATATAAAAGATTGCAGCCGTTAACAGCAAGACAAAAGAAATTTAACGAGCTTCATAGTAAGGCTCGTACTGTTATTGAATGTACATTTGGTGCATTGAAAATACGTTGGCGCTCAATTTTTGATAAAGTTCTTAGGTTAAATCTTGAACACTGTGTTCAAACAATAGCTGTGGCAGGCATTATGCATAATATATGCCTGAATGATGGACTTGATCTGATTGAAGTAAATAACATCGTGGAGGATTGTCATTATGAAGGAGTTGCTACTAACAATGAAAATATTGATGCAATTTCTATGCGCGATGAAATTGCAAACAACATTCATATGTAATTGAGTTATAAATTTTAATAAAAAAAATCTATTTTATTAAATGCTTTGTAAATTAAATTATTTTATATATATATATATTTATATACATGTATATATATATCTTATATATAAAATTAACATTGTCAAAATGTTAGTTACCGTACCCCTCCGAAACGGCTTTACCGATTTTTACCAAATTTTATATGCGTATTCAGTAGGTCTGGGAATCGGCTACTATCTATTTTTCATACCGCTAAAGTGATTAGGGTGTCCCTATCCAGCAAAAATATCTTTATTGCTTTAACAAAAATTTTTTTAATTTTTTGACATAAATTTTTTTACTGTGATAGTGATAGTGATCAGCATTGGCGCGCAAAAAAATCACTCCATAACTTTCAGTGTTTTTTAAGCGAAAAACTTAAAAAGTGATATTAAACTCATCACAAATAATTGAGACAGTGACTCTTAAATAATATTAATAAAAAAAATAATAGTGCCCGATAAAATAAAATATTATTATATATATTTATTTTTGCGAAAAAAGTGAATTTTGATTTTGTTTTCGAATTTGTTTACTTTTTTCCAAATTCACACACACTTGAAAACAGCTGATAGAGACAGCAAACAAAGCTTAAAAGCTCAAAAACAAATTTACAAAAAAGTGTTGCAAACGGGTAGAATAGCTAAACAAATTACAAATCGCAAATTTGAAAAATTGTGTAATTGTGTAATTAAATAACAAACTTATGCTAAATAAATAAAATAAATAAATACGCGAAAGGACGCCTCAAAACAAAAAAAAAAAAATTAATTGTTTGATAAATTCTTAAGAAAAATTGAAATTTATATTTTATTATATTATAAATTTATATTATACCTATATTAATAATATATATTTATATTTTTTCTTTTTAAATACATACTATTTTTCTCGTGCCATTTAAAACAGAACTTTAAAGGTTTATAATTAAATAATTAAAAAGTAGAAGCTTCTTTTTCACAACAAATTACTCAGAGACAGTTGGCTGCTCAGCTAATTTCCACGATACCAACCACGATATGCCAATTAAAAGATCACCGCCTTCGCATAGCGGAGGCACAAACCACTCACCCATATGCTACCCAACAGCAGATGATAGTTCTGAGAAGCCAACTACGAACCAAACAACAATGCTAAACAACCAAACCCAAAGGCAACGCTCATACTCGGTAAGTGAAAATTCTTGCAAACAATCAAGTTACCAACCGCAAAGTCCAGCAACATCTTCGAAAAATAACACAGCATCAGCGCAACAAAATAACGCAGCGCAACATGTTAACATATTGCCAAATATATTGCAAAAGAATAGTAACATAGCAAAAAATCCTGATTCACCCAAAGTCCGTGGCATGGATAAATATATTTAAATCATAAAAAGAAAACGTAGCCCGAAACAAGAAAATGCTAACAATGCAATCTCGACAGAAACTCGAAAAATAGAAAATATTTCGACAGCGAATCGTTTTGCCGTTCTAGCCGAAGATAATAAAAATACCAGTCCCACCCCTACCCAGAAACCGCCACCCATATTTCTGCGTGAAAAAAATTCAAACGCTCTTATATACTCCCTAACACAAAGTATTGGCAAAGATTCATTCCATGTTGTGCCTCTTCGTAAAGGAAATGTCGCTGAAACGAAAATCTCGATCAACGAAGAAAAACATTTCAGAGCAGTTGTAAACAACTTCGAAAAAAATGGAAAAAATTTTTACACCTATCAATTAAAAAGTGCCAAAGGATTAACAGTA